TGGGGTTGTGTTCGATGGCAGTGATTTTAGAGCACTACACTTTCTCCAGTGAAATGTGTCCATCACAGGTTTTGCTTTGCTCTCTTTCCAACTAGTATGTAATATTTGGATTGCTTAAACATCAAGTTATTCATTTTTGTTGAATATAAATTTTCATACTAAGAATGAATTCATTTCACGATTGGGTTTAGTGATGACATTCCCACAGGCGTAAATACTTTTCTTGATTTTAGTTCATGCAATTGAATTTTCTAGCTGCAAAAAATATTTATTCTTTCGACGTATCAAACTCGGTCTAATGGATACTAGTAACAAAACAAACGTGGATTTACGGGGAGACGCTCCATCGCCCCCCCCCCCCCCGTTCGGATGAGAGACAAATCCACGCCACGACACGAGGAGATTTAATAGCGCCCCCTACCAAATGTCTTGATCCGCCAGTGCACAAAGCCCGTTTAGAGTGTCGACATCGTTTTGATCTGTATTCGTCCAACAACGAAGATCACGTTTACGAGAGGTCGTCCTGTATCCCAGATGGCTACACAGCCTAACACTGAAAGGCGCTGTTTTATTTTGACGTCATGGAAGGATTCGATCGCTGAGGGATTAATAGGAATCATATATAAAACGACAAAATATAATGTTTAAATTTGAAGTTGCTCTTGATTGGTGGATCCAGCTCCTTGGCGTGCCCAATCAAATCATTCATTTTAACAGAGGTCAAATGCAGCCTGATCTAACACGATCTTTTTTTCCTAACGGGTTCGTGAAGACGGCCATGTACGGTCGGCTTTGCGTATGAGCTTGTATCATCCTTGAGCTACATGAATATTCATGACTTTCATTGACAAGAGACGAAAGGCGACTGCAAACTGGGGACGTGTATATAACCATTCATCCTCTCGCGAGTAACATGATTTTGTATGACACGAAACAAAAGGCGATCGACAATGTAACAGACAAGTCAGTTCTTGGCAGAGTACAAGAGGTGACTGTGAAAGCGGATTTCTCAGCGTACAAGACAGTCAACGACCTGAGAACAGCGCAATGTGAATTTAAATGCAAAGCAACTCATTTTTATCATATAAATCACGTGACCACGAGATGCAGCGACGAGCTATGAATATGTAAAATATCGGGTAAATTATCACACGAACAAAATACATTAGTAGGAGCGTCGTCTACAATTTACATCTAGGACACATGGTCACTGACTGCCAGTGATATAAATATACACATGTCATCCCACGTTATGTCATCCCACTTGATGTCATCCGAACCTAACTTATGTAGATATCAACCATATGTTCATTTAATGTTGAATTGTAATCTAGTTGATATTTACTATTATTATGTGATATGAATGAGATAATGGAGCCTGTCACTGTACAGATGTACGCAATATTATGAAAAGACTCATCTCACCGCAGTAAAATATTCAGATGACACTCATAATAAATTACGTAATACTGATAAATACGCTTTTTTTAACATTGTCGAATATCTGAACCCCAAAAAGGACGCTGTCTTAATAACTGATCTAACATTGCAGAACACATATCTTGGCATCAGTTAAATCGGTTATGTGTGAATCTTAAGATATGGGAGTACATTTCACGGCGGAATGTTTGCAGTGAAAATTGCAAGCAGGCTTCATATTAAGCACGCGCATTGATACATTATAACTTGAACGTCGTTCAGGTATAAATAGTAGGGCCGAGAAGAGGCTGGATCACTGAAGCAAAAGTGTCTGCTGTAGAATTAGTTGATAATTCATCTTTTTTCGCCGTGTCTCGCCTACCATCGTCAGAATGCGTGAGATAGTTCACTTACAAGCTGGACAATGTGGAAACCAGATCGGAGCTAAGGTAAATGTTGTTAATTTTTTTTTTTTTTTTTTTTTACATTTTCAGCATGATTCTCACTTATTCTGTGATGGGCGTTGGTCATCGTGCTCACTCAGACTGAAACCTGCCTTATTCAATTACTACAGAAGGTCAACCGATCGATTAGTGTGCATCTTGAAACGAACGAAGTCAACATGACATGTGTGAATACGAACGGAAATATTACAGAGAGCACGGCTATTGACATAATTAACTACGATTTACGTGAATAAAAACAGAATAATATTAGGAGGCAATACTTCCCATATGTAAATTAGTTTGGTACAGACATGAGTCATCGTTACTCACCAATGAACAGCAAGGCAGCCAAGTTTAGCATACTGCAAGCTCCCAATTTGCCCTCAAAACACACCCTATTCAATCGCGCACCGTTAGTTCTACAGATTTGTTATCATGTGGTACCTACTTTAAAATGAATAACCAGATTAACATTTTTTTTTGAGAAAGGTTCTTTTTCATAATCAGGGATGGGGTTTTCTAACCATCGATTCCCTCAGGAAATTATCTAGTCTTAACTCAAAATACGTATATTGACCTTGGATAATAAACGGGTGGATTTTATTGATGGAACATTTTCAACTTTGCAGTTCCTGGTTTTAGAAATATAATTTCCAGTACTGTGTTCTCGGTAAATGTTCCAACAAATTTTGTATTTTTGCATTATATTTGGCTCATTAAATCAAAATATAGTTGTTAAAACTGGGATGTAATATCAATACAATTGTAAGAATGGGTGTGAGTGTTACGGCGGTGGTTTCATGTTGTTTAGTGAGAACCAAACACTTTCCCTTCTCGGCGTGCTGGCATTGGTCGTACTTCATCTAGGGTTTTAACCGTGCAATTCAAACTACTCGTCTACTCATATTCGGACATTCATTATTGTACGATGCGTAATAAATGTTGCGCAGTGCAAACAGATCACTTATAGATCGAAGAAAATTATTTGAAGATTCGCCAGCACAATGTCAGATATATGAGCCCCATCACCTTCATTATTATGCAGTATCAATACACGACTATTCGTACATCACACAAGATGTACGTTCAGTTTTATTACATGCTGTCACGTGATGATCTACATGCCGGGTAATGCATACGTAATACAGTGGGGTGGGGCGTTGAATAAACTTAATTTTTTTCTTATTGTTATATCTGTATCTAAGTATTTTCTTTGCCTTTTTCATTAATTTCTGTCATATCTCGGTCGCCTAAATGGCAATTACAACACAAACTCGATATACCTTTTTATGTTATTACTAGTATTTAAATTTTTGGCCGAGCAAGTATCCCCGGAGGAATGAGTGGAAATCAAATCACAATGACCTCGTTTTACCAAGGATGCATATTTTCACATATCTCGGTTTCGAACCATGGTTTATTGTGACGTGTTAACAGTACTGGGATTTAATAATACCCACAATACATCAGTCCATAATTCAAGGTTTTTCTCGATTACCACGTAATGAGTCATTAATTATGTATGTAGTAATGAAGTCATTTTCCACTGGCACGGCAGCTTCGTTTGAACCGAATTCAAATTTTGCACTAGTGATCATATTACTACACGTATGTGTAATGCATTATGGGAGAGAACTTCATATTGTATACACACTGGAAATTTACAAAATTCACACGTGCTAAAAATATCACAATTCGTATGACTAATAATTCATGAAACCGAGAAAAAATTTGAGATATGCAAAATATTCATTCTCATTATAGAGATCAGTGAAAACATTCCCTTTGGTCATTTCCTATGTTGAGCTCTTTTATCTCGATTTTTTTATAATGAATAATGAAAGCATGAACATGTCATATTGTAATATTAAATTCGACTCGAGCCTCTTTAATTTGCATATACATTAAAATATAATACATGTATAAAAAAAGTCGCCTGATTTATTTTAGAATCAGAGTAATTATAAAACTGGAACTTGGGTCGTTCCTTGCAAGGGTGATTAGAGTCGTGACGTATGAGGATGAATATACATGTATCTAGTATTATATTTCTACGTATTAACTGTTTGGAATATATTAATTTGCCGTTGAGGGCAGCATAACTTCTGCAAAATTTAAGTAATCGCTTGAATAGATAACTAACAAATATTTGCCAAGATTATGTAAAATAAAAATTGTATGAACATAATTCAATGTTTGATTGATTGTTTTCTAGTTTTGGGAAATAATTTCCGATGAACATGGCATCGACCCCACTGGTAGCTACCATGGTGATTCAGACTTGCAGCTGGAAAGAATCAATGTATACTACAACGAGGCAACGGGAGGAAGATATGTACCCAGGGCAATTTTGATGGATTTGGAACCAGGCACAATGGACTCTGTCCGATCTGGGCCATTTGGGCAAATTTTCAGACCAGACAACTTTGTTTTCGGTAAGATTGTTTTCTTGTTCTTCATTTTGAATATTTAATAAATATCTTGAAAACAAAATTTTTTTATCGACGGGAGACAACAGATTAAAACTATATCGACGATTAGAACGACGTCCACAACACCCATTTACGTCAAAGTAACGCTAAATCACTAAAGAGCACCACAAATTCTAATCATATCGAGGCTGTGACAATCTTCATTTCATCCAGTTTACGTCATACACGACAATATGGCGTTGTGACGACTTTTAGACCCGTGGCAAAGTTGCAAGCACAATGCACCGTGTGTTGTGTATTTCATGTTCTGCTTTTACAAGCATACTAGTATTCGACGTTTCAACCCTAAAATTAATATTGTTTGTTAATATTATAATAGGTCAGAGCGGGGCGGGTAACAACTGGGCCAAAGGTCACTACACAGAAGGAGCCGAGCTGATCGATTCTGTATTAGATGTGGTTCGAAAAGAAGCTGAAAGCTGTGACTGCCTTCAGGTTAGTGTTGATGACGTCATTAATAAGACATCCCATTCTGCATTTATTCCATCACAGTTCCCAAAACGCATCACGAATATCAAACCTGGGACAATTCGCAAATTTAATTAATTTCGATGTAATATGTATATCGTTTCAGGGATTCCAACTTACCCACTCCCTTGGTGGTGGCACTGGCTCAGGTATGGGTACTCTCCTTATCAGCAAGATCCGTGAAGAATATCCAGATCGCATCATGAACACATTCAGTGTTGTTCCATCACCAAAAGTATCAGACACTGTTGTTGAACCATACAATTGTACTCTGTCGGTTCATCAGTTGGTTGAAAATACTGACGAGACATTTTGTATCGACAACGAAGCCCTCTACGATATCTGCTTCCGTACCCTGAAACTTACCACTCCTACCTATGGTGACTTAAATCATTTGGTATCTGCAACCATGAGTGGTGTTACTACCTGTCTGCGATTCCCTGGTCAGTTGAACGCCGATCTCCGTAAATTAGCTGTCAATATGGTACCATTCCCACGTCTGCACTTCTTCATGCCTGGTTTTGCTCCATTGACCAGCCGTGGTAGCCAACAATATCGTGCCCTTACTGTGCCAGAATTAACCCAACAAATGTTCGATGCCAAGAACATGATGGCCGCCTGTGATCCACGTCATGGTCGTTATCTGACAGTAGCTGCAATCTTCCGTGGCCGTATGTCCATGAAAGAAGTTGACGAACAGATGTTGAATGTCCAGAACAAAAACAGTAGTTACTTCGTTGAATGGATCCCCAACAACGTGAAGACCGCTGTTTGCGATATACCACCCCGTGGTCTCAAGATGTCTGTGTGTTTCATTGGTAACAGCACTGCCATCCAAGAGCTTTTCAAGCGTATCTCTGAACAGTTCACTGCTATGTTCCGTCGTAAAGCTTTCTTGCATTGGTACACTGGTGAAGGTATGGATGAGATGGAATTTACTGAAGCTGAATCCAACATGAACGACTTGGTATCTGAATACCAACAGTACCAGGATGCAACAGCTGAAGAGGAGGGTGAATTTGATGAAGAGGAGGGAGAAGTCGAAGATGATTAGCACGTTTCCTCTGAGCGTAAATTATCACTGCGATGACCAATATGAACAGTTGTTTTGCGATAAGCTTTCCTTTTTGGGAAACGATTACATTAATTACAAATAAACCCGAAAATAAACATGTATTATCTCAAATGTGTTGTTATGGTGTAAGTGTTTATTGTATTTTATGTTAGTCAGTCCAGTATGCGGGCAAAATTGTGACCTCGTAGTTTGGGTAATTAATATGCTACTTATCAACTGTCCAGTTTGCGAATTGAAATATAGAACGGCAGCACTCGTCTGGGTGCGTTCATTCAGCGCCGATGTTCAGCTTGACCCATTTGGGGCAAAAATTATTTCGTTGAAAACTCAGAATTAATGACATTACAGTATTCTTCACATATGATGACTAGACGCGATGCAAGATATCGAGTTTTACAGACATTCGTAATTCAAGATTTCCAGTCTGTATTCCGCGACAGTTGTGTGACCGCCACCAACGGCACGTTTTGGAACGTTACGTTACTCTTACCTGATAATGCAACGCAAGCACTGTGATGTTATTGACATGTTGAGTTGGCAATGTAAATTTTGTTCGCTAAATAAAACCTAGTGTGACCTGTGTATGTTGTCTTGTGTTCGTGATATTATATGTGTCCTGTAACTATCCGTATTACCGTGACCCAGGTTGGGGTATGAGGGTCGATCTGTGGGACATCTTTCTTATCGATGAATGAATACACGTCGACTGCCAGTGTTGAGACAGGATGCGATAATAACTACGCAACATAGAATATTAGCTGTATAACACAGTTAGCAAACAAATTGATACCGCCTTTATTAAAATGCAATATGGTAGTATGTATTTTTTTAATGTTTGGTTTTGATGCTCCATGTTAATGGAGACAGTCTCAAGCTTTGATATTAAAAAAATACACGTTTCCATCCATATTGCATCATTCTCAAATAGACTCGATGCTGATTGGATGCACAGTTTATGAAATTAGTAGTTGTACGTACGAGTTCGTCGGGGAAGTACTTACATCATGGTTTCATCAATATTCTAACATGGCTATGCGCCCTCCACCAATCAGATCGCCGTATTCACGATTTATATTCTCTGTATAAATTGAGAAGAAGTTAGCCAGAACATGGCTTTGTCAGCTGATCTTGATTGACAGGAGATCATCAAAAGAACACACATGATTGGTTAATCTAATGCAACATTTTATTATTGGAGGGCGCATAGCCATGTTAGAAGCCGGTTATGAAATGACACGCCCTTTATACATGTCATTTTATAAGCTATACCTAAAAATCTCAATATGAACAATCTTTTGCATATAGCTACTACGTTTCAATATCTGCCATTGCAGAAATAAAACATGTAAATTGTCCGAGTTACGAACATTGAGTTAGGAACACCGAGTTACAATAATGAACACGCCCATATTTTAGAAACCATGCCGATTTTTTGCAAAACCACTCGATGTTCAATTAACAGTTAACCAATCTTCGTGTTACGGGCAATAGACATATTTGTTTTTGGTGAACGTCCACATTAAAGTAACTCGAAATTTAATTAAAAGTTCCGCCTTTTATACACATTTTGTAAAAAAATAAGTCAACGGGAGAATAACGTAATTAATATTCAATTTCATTTGATTTCATTTTTTCCTGTATTTTTGTACACCTTGCTGTTCAATGACGTCATTATACAGTCGAACGAGATCGATACGTGAAGGAACTTGTAACCGACATCGCATTAATTTAACCCGATTTACTACCCAAACTAAACTCGATTTCTAGTCTCTGTCCCGCGCGTACTACAGTTACCGTTGGGTTTGTTATACTCCCTTCAACGCTATTATACACAGGGACACAAGAGACTCGCCAAGTGCCAGAGGCTAGATAACACTCGCTCAGCGAAACTAGTAGGGTTATAGATTGTATTGTATTGCATTGTTTCTAGTCGTCGACCAACGTGTATTGGAAACGGATGTACACTCCGTTTTATCCAGACATGTTGAAAAAGAATGGTATCAATTCTGACTATAATATAGCTCATACTAAATCTATTGTTTAAAGAGGTGAATGAAGTATGGTTTCATTCATAACACCAACAATTAGTACATGGTTTCCACCATATGGTCAAGCGATGTTTACAAGGATCGCAGATAACAAAACGTGCATCAATGTTATCATACATCGAAACATGGGATCAATATTTACAAAATGGAATATTAATGAATTTGTTCAATGGTAAAGGTATCAAACGATACATGTCACGTACATGTGTATTGTATATTTACAACCATAACTCATGGCCCGATAACTAACATTATACAGCTTTCATGTGTACACATTGACCATTCGAGATTGTCTTTCCGACACGACACAACAGTGATATAATTATTGTTTTGTGACACAGGTCGATTTTTTTAAAAATTGCATTGTAAATTGTCGGTAAAATCTTATTTTAAGTCTTTGACATGTAAAGTACTATGTTTACTGTAACAAATGCAACGGGGGTGGCCGCCCTGCCAATAGGCGAACATCGCCGACCATTTGTTTTTGTTCCGTTTGATTTGTTAGCTTCTATGGTGTCATCAAATCACCGAATCGCAGACGGGGTTTGATTGAAATGGTCTATATCACTGAATTGATATTAGACATGGAACATTTCCTATTATGATTAGCCCGAGACATACGCCAGACTCTTTGGTCTCTCTTGTATGGCCAGTACGTCCTTCTTTTTTACGTTGTAAGAAGATGATACTAGTTATATCACAGAACATCGAACATTACCTACTTCCAAGGTTAGTTGTTAAGTGCATACACTAACCATAATTTGAGAAGAAATGCATGACGGGAACATTGCATTGAAGACATATAACCGATAACCGTTGCAATACACCTGATTACGATTAGTATAACTCGTGAAAGCGGATTTGATTTTTGGCCAAGTTACTCAAATTTTAAAGGATTTTCAGCTAAGTTTTACTGACAATACAACTTTAATTGTATGTTACGTAGCCTGAGAAGGTCGCGTGTGTTGCGCCATCCGCGTTTCGAATGAGTAATCACTTATGATGGGATACAAAAGGGGCATGTGGACCATGGTCCAGAAAATAAAGTGGAAGATGGACACACTTTTATAATACCGTGTTCCTTATATAAAAACGATCAATCAAAATTAATTATAGTGAAATAATGACTAAATAATAATGAAATCATTGACATTCATTTCATTCATTCTATTACAGGTTCTATACATTCAGTTTTTTCTCTCTCTTTTTAAACATTTTGTAGAGGAATATTGTATACGCTGTTGTCATGGATACACATATGTCATGCAAATGATACTTATTGCATTATAAGGGATATTGTTACTGTACCAAAGATAACATACGGCTCTCACCATCACAATCAGAAAATCATATCAAAATTGACAACCGGATAATTGACTGGTTTCACTTTCCATCGAGTCGTATGTGTACATTGGCGCTGATCGCAAGAACTCGCCATTACCCATCTTTCAGTACGTCGGGCGCGTTAGATTAAAGTGGGAGAGTCGTCACCTGCGCATGCGTCAGATAGCCATAGCGTGTCATTGTTTACAAACAAGCGTTTTTAGTGTGTGTTGCTATCATCGCTTTGGACTCAACTCCTGCGCGTGCGCAGGTGACGACCCTCCCGCTTTAAGAGCGGTGATAAAACTTATTTCATGGCAAATGAAAAAAAAACTTGTTTGATTTAAAAGTGATGAACAGTTACAGGCTGAAGCATTTCAGATTCATGTTGAAAAGCATATGTTGTACATTGTTGTGTTGGTCGTCTTTATCCACCAACCGCCCCCGGTATTTGTTGTACGTTGGATTAGCTAGTCGGCTATGCAAAATATTAACATCGTTACAGCTCGCTAGTCGAATTTTCCCCAGTCTATTGATGAAATATTCTGTGTGCCCGACCCGTTCGTATTCTGGGTCGAACACCCCTCTACGAAACGCTTCGGTCCGAGCCATGAAAAACATAGTGATGGCGTCGGCCATGTAGCAATTAGGATACTCTGGAATCGGGTGGTATTTGTGTCCGCCGTGTCGAATGAAGCAGTCTCCGTCTTGGTCGCCTGTATACCACAATATTGTACGGCATCCAAAACAAGATTGTTTCGATTTACCCCTTTCGTCGCCAAATGTTCCACCAATCACGTCTAATTTCACTTTCGGGTTCTCAAATTTATTAATAAAGTTCTCCAATTTGGTTCCGTTCGTGAAAACAAAGTCGTCGTCGCAGTACAGAAAATACTTAGTTCGGACCTGGCTCAGAGCAAGATTCCGTCCAGCCGATGCCCCCTCAGCGTGCGGCATAATGTAATGCTTGATATTTGAGCCATTGATCTTTTGTGGCGTCTCAGAATCATCAGCTACGATGATTGTCATTTCGGGATAGAACTGATTCACACTTTTCACAAATCGAGTCACCGCATTATAACGTTCAAATGTCTTGACTACCACGGTGACTTTTCTGCTGATAGAACCTGGGCCAGGGTCGATCAAGAATGGCACTGTCTGTCTTTTAATATGGATATGTATAGGCACACTGATGTTGTTGAATTGCAGACGGACAATGTCACGATCGTTGATATCATATAATATACTTGTATAGTAAATGTTACGTAAAGCCTCATCGATTAATGATACAACGACCATACCACGAATACAGAGCACTGTCGTGTGATTCCCAGCGATGTTAAGATATTTGGACCCATCCGTTATGTGAACGTGCAGTACACCAATAGACTTCTCAGATGACAGCTTCAGTTCGAATATATGTTTGTTTTCCAAGTATTCGACCACGTTGGGATGGACAGACAACCCGATCAAACGCGTGGTAGCTAATGGTTCTAAGGTAATCCCGCTCCCCATATACTGTATCGGGGTCATAGCATAACATAACGACAATGGTTCCGTCTCAGTTTTGTGATAACGTTGCCACTCCATTACTTCTCTATCTCGCCGTCGTTTTCGGTCTGCCTCCAAAGGACCATATGAACTTTTTCCACATACACATGGTCCTGGCGGGAGCACGGTCACATCCTTTCTGAATTCACCAAAGTCAGACTCCTTCTTAGAAAACCCCGGGTCAATGTGTTCACCTGTTTGCCTGGCGATAATTAAACTCATGTAACATTTACGTATGTTGAGCAGGAGTGAAAATACGCCGATTAAGGTAAGACAAATAAACACCAGTTTCACTGTGGAACGAGTGAATATCAGTTTTGACATCGAAACTGCCAACATTTTGCGCGCTTACAGTAGAGTAAAGTGTGTATTGGTGCACGCCGTTGCCTGCCACATCATCCAAGGGAATAATATATTACAAAATGTATATCACTTCTGCAAATGCGTCATTGTGATTGGTTGACTTTTAAAGTTAAATTTATACTAGCCAGACAACATAACCCATTTCATATATGTACGCATGTTGCGCTCATGTTTATGTCATAACCTCCGATAAAACGAATGTGTAAACACGATACAATGCATATATGCAAAGTACAGAGCCTTCAATAATTAATAGAGACAGTTGCACTCCCCACTTAGGTCACGTGATCGAGAGCAACCCTTTTCTGAAAAACAAACCCGCTTACTAGTGGACGAGTGCAGTCAACAAGAAACAGTTCTCTCCCAGCAAACTGGCTAGACGACGATCGAGAACAAATTCTCCCAGTAAACGCAGGCAAGGGATTCTGAAATAAACCAGTTATCCAATTACATGTCGATAATTCTACAATGTACGGAAGAAGCCTACTCATAATTGCCGATACACAAAGTATATTCTTATAAGGATATTGACTTTTTAAAAATTTGAGGTCACCAGTCTGATTTTCAAGAAAATGATGGCTGTATTTCAGTGGATACTGGCCATTTTTTCAGCATTACAACGCTTTCACCACAAATAATATTAGGAAAAGTTTCTTAAAATACATCACTGTAACACACAAAAGAATCTTATTTTATAGTGCCGTGAATAATCTGATCTATCGATATCAATTATGTGATTTGTAATTTTATATCGGGTATTGGCTCTAATTACGACATGCTGTAGTTGCCTCTTTGTATCATTGATGTGTTCATTTTCAGTGATATGCCGCAAAATTACTTTAAGAAAAAACAGTAAGGGGGTGGATGCGTCAGAGAAAAATATCATTGTAAAACACAACCTGTTGCTCATAAGTGCCAAATGCAAATGAATACATAGTCGATTTCAGTCCTACAGATAATGAATTTATTTCGTTAACATTTTTTTTTTTTTGGATATTCATGCTCTCCAAAACATCATTTAATATATGGTCTATTAAAAACAAACAAACAAGAGACTGCGTGTAAACCATAAACTGTACCCAGTTTTCGGTTTTTGTGGACATGCAAATTTTAAAAAGTACTAGTATTCAGAACTAGCTACTAGTATGTGTCCCGTGGTTTTTATACGACCTCATTGGTCTAGGGTACCAAAGGGTATATATACAATGGAAAATTATTTTTCCTGCAACTGACCGATAATTATAGTCGATTTCAACTTTTATAACTGAAATACTTACTAGGCGTAAAGTGGCAACGATAGTGGCGTTCACGCTTGAGATTTCGGCTCGTGACGAGTCAAGTTTCGGATCCGAGCCAAAAGATATGTTTGCCCAAGTCAGTGCTATAATCCCTGAGTGGTCCCAACAACAAGGGAGATAATATTATCCCTGAGTGGTTCCAATAACAAGGAAGATAATGTTATCCCTGAGTGGTTCCAATAACAAGGGAGAATATATTATCCCTGAGTGGTCCAACAACAAGGGAGATAATATTATCCCTGAGTGGTCCCAACAACAAGAGAGTGACATTATCCCTGAGTGGTTCCAACAACAAGGGAGATATTATGATCTCTGAGTAGTCCCAACAACAAGAGAGTGACATTATCCCTGAGTAGTCCCAACAACAAGGGAGATAATATTATCCCAGAGTGGTTCCAATAACAAGGAAGATAATATGATCTCTGAGTAGTCCCAACAACAAGAGAGTGACATTATCCCTGAGTAGTCCCAACAACAAAGAAGATAATATTATCCCTGAGTGGTCCCAGCAACAAAGAAGATAATATTATCCCAGAGTGGTTCCAACAACAAAGAAGATAATATTATCCCTGAGTGGTCCCAACAACAAAGAAGATAATATTATCCCAGAGTGGTTCCAACAACAAAGAAGATAATATTATCCCTGAGTGGTCCCAACAACAAAGAAGATAATATTATCCCAGAGTGGTTCCAACAACAAAGAAGATAATATTATCCCTGAGTGGTCCCAACAACAAAGAAGATAATATTATCCCTGAGTGGCCCCAACAACAAAGAAGATAATATTATCCCTGAGTGGTCCCAACAACAAAGAAGATAATATTATCCCTGAGTAGTCCCAACAACAAAGAAGATAATATTATCCCTGAGTGGTCCCAACAACAAAGAAGAAAATATTATCCCTGAGTGGCCCCAACAACAACAAAGAAGATAATATTATCCCAGAGTGGTTCCAATAACAAGGAAGATAATATTATTTCTGAGTTGTCTCAACAACAAGGGAGATAATATTATCCGTGAGTGGTTCCAACAACAAGGGAGATAATATTATTCGTCAGTGGTTCCAATAACAAGGGAGATAATATTATCGCTGAGTGGTTCTAACAACGAAGGAGATAATATTATCGCTGAGTGGTCCCAACAACAAGGGAGATAATATTATCCTTTAGTGGTCCCAGCAACAAGGGGGATAATATTATCCCTGAGTGTTTCCAACAACAAGGGAGATAATATTATCGCTGAGTGGTCCTAACAATGAAGGAGATAATATTATCGCTGAGTGGTTCCAACAACAAGAGCGATAATATTATCCGTCAGTGGTTCTAAAAACAAGGGAGATAATGTTCTCGCTTAGTGGTCCCAACAACAAAGGAGATAATATTATCCCTGCGTGGTCTCAACAACAAGGGAGATAAGATTATCCCTGAGTGGTCCTAACAACAAGGGAGATAATATTATCCGTCAGTGGTTCCAATAACAAGAGAGATAATATTATCGCTGAGTGGTCCTAACAACAAAGGAGATAATATTATCGCTGAGTGGTCCCAACAACAAGGGAGATAATATTATCCTTTAGTGGTCCCAACAACAAGGAGGATAATATTATCCCTGAGTGTTTCCAACAACAAGGGAGATAATATTATCGCTGAGTGGTCCTAACAACGAAGGAGATAATAATATCGCTGAGTGGTTCCAACAACAACAAGAGAGATAATATTATCCGTCAGTGGTTCCAAAAACAAGGGAGATAATGTTCTCGCTTAGTGGTTTCAATAACAAGGGAGATAATATTATCACTGAGTGGTCCAAACAACAAGGGAGATATTATTATCCCTGAGTGGTCCCAACGACAAGGGAGATAATATTATCCCTGCGTGGTCTCAACAACAAGGGAGATAAGATTATCCCTGAGTGGTCCTAACAACAAGGGAGATAATATTATCCCCGAGTGGTCCCAACAACAAAGGAGATATTATTATCCCTGAGTGGTTCCAATAACAAGGGAGATAATATTATCCCTGAGTGGTTCCAATAACAAGGGAGATAATATTATCCCTGAGTGGCCCAACAACAAGGGAGATAATATTATCCCCGAGTGGTCCCAACAACAAGGGAGATAATATTATCCATGAGTGGTCCCAATAACAAGGATGATAATATTATCTCTGAGTAGTCCCAACAACAAGAGAGTGACATTATCCCTGAGTGGTCCCAACAACAAGGGAGATAATATGATCTCTGAGTAGTCCCAACAACAAGAGAGTGACATTATCCCTGAGTAGTCCCAACAACAAAGAAGATAATATTATCCCTGAGTGTTCCCAACAACAAAGAAGATAACATTATCCCAGATTGGTTCCAACAACAAAGAAGATAATATTATCCCTGAGTGGTCCCAACAACAACAAAGAAAATAATATTATCCCAGAGTGGTTCCAATAACAAGGAAGATAATATTATCGCTGAGTGGTCCCAACAACAAAGGAGATAATATTATTTCTGAGTTGTCCCAACAACAAGGGAGATAATATTAGCCGTGAGTGGTCCCAACAGCAAGGGAGATAATATTATCTGTCAGTGGTTCCAATAACAAGGGAGATAATATTATCGCTGAGTGGTCCTAACAACGAAGGAGATAATATTATCGCTGAGTGGTCCCAACAACAAGGGAGATAATATTATCCTTTAGTGGTCCCAACAACAAGGAGGATAATATTATCCCTGAGTGTTTCCAACAACAAGGGAGATAATATTATCCCAGAGTGGTCCTAACAACGAAGGAGATAATAATATCGCTGAGTGGTTCCAACAACAACAAGAGAGATAATATTATCCGTCAGTGGTTCCAAAAACAAGGGAGATAATGTTCTCGCTTAGTGGTTTCAATAACAAGGGAGATAATATTATCACTGAGTGGTCCAAACAACAAGGGATATATTATTATCCCTGAGTGGTCCCAACGACAAGGGAGATAATATTATCCCTGCGTGGTCTCAACAACAAGGGAGATAATATTATCCCCGAGTGGTCCTAACAACAAGGGAGATAATATTATCCCTGCGTGGTCTCAACAACAAGGGAGATAATATTATCCCTGAGTGGTCCAAACAACAAGGGAGATAATATTATCCCCGAGTGGTCCTAACAACAAGGGAGATAATATTATCCCTGCGTGGTCTCAACAACAAGGGAGATAATATTATCCCTGCGTGGTCTCAACAACAAGGGAGATAAGATTATCCCTGAGTGGTCCTAACAACAAGGGAGATAATATTATTCCTGAGTGATTCCAACAACAAGGAAGTCAATATTATATTATATTATTATCAATATTAGTTTTGTTAGACACCCTTGTTGATTACAGATTTCTGATTATCTGTAATTACTGATTAAATATTGTTAGTTTCGGCAAATGTTTTATGTTGTTAAATATACTGGTCAAGTTTCGTCGGACAGTTGCGAATATTTTACGTGTAAGTTGTTTCGCTGATTACAGATTTTTAATTATCTGTAATTAGCGAAACGAATCATTTACGTATTAAATATTATTTTCGGCAAATA